TGATGTATATGTGACACGGAATATATAAAGAGTTTTGTTGATTGATTTCAATACTTATGGTCCTATGACAGATAGTCTTATGTATACATGGGAAGAAATTCTGACAGGTTTGTTAGGAAAAGAGTTTATATAAAATTTTAATTAATTCTTGTAACTGAGAATTTTTTTTGCGCGGATTCAGCAACTGGACCACCATTAATTCGACTGATTACCTCTCAAACTGAGTCCAGTCAATCACGTAGTCAACCATTCGCTGTAAATCGTTATCCACATGAGATTTTTGATTTATCACAAGGCCAATCTATTGCTGAATTTGCTGAACAATTCCAACGTGAATTAGCAATCGCTGCTGTTGGCAGTGATGGAGAAGAAAATGATAATGAAAACAATATCATTAATAATGTCAACCAACAATCTCAGTCATAATAGAAAATATGGTTGGTTAGAAAAAAATCCATATGATAGAAATTCTGTTTTTTTTTCGTTATTATTTAATTATAAATTTTAAATTTTAGCTATTTAATAATAAATTGGATACATTAATAAAAGGAGTTATCAAATCATCGGGCACGTGATTTTAAATAAATTTGGTTAGAGCAAGGCGTTTGTGTAATAATGATATGTAGCCTAAAGGTATGATTAAAAACTGAGTTGCACTAATTTAACTCCAATCAAATATTTAATACGTGACTTTAAAATTTCATTCTACTTATTTTGGCCGGCATTATAGAACTTGGCCGAAATTAATCATGTGACAAATAATATAACAAATGAAGTCCAGAAGGATGAGTATGACAAATTATTAAGATCACGTGAAGGATAAAAAGTTTTGTGATGTATAATGAAGTAGATTAATTTTTGTATTATATCTAGTATTTGTTTATTTGTTTGCTCATAAATAGATATAAGATTAGTCTCTTTTATTATACTTGTATTTTGAAATTAAATTAGTTAATATAAAAATTGTAGATTTTGATTATTTATTAAAGTTAAGAGTTATAATAATAATATTTATAATATGATTTTTCAAAAGACAATTATTTTTATTATCAATTAAATAGTTAAATGTATAAATTTAATAATATAATACTATAATTGAATCATAATATAATTAGTATTTAAAGCTAATATATAAAGTTTATATGTATATAAATTTAATTTGATATATAAAGATTTGCTAGGAAAATAGGAATGAGAATTTTTTAATAAATTTTTAATTTTTATTGCATTTTAATCTAATATTATCAAAAATTAAAATAAAAATTAAAAATTTACTAAAAAAATTTCAGTCCTATTTTCCTAGCAAACCTCTTACATCAGTAAATTTAATAAAGCGAAGTATTATATAATTTCTACATTCTGTAATATTATGTAAAATTACGAGTCCATTGAAAAATTTACATATACGTAATACTTTAAAGCTTTACAACGTGTAAGACTTCAAATATTTTTACATTGCATAGTATTATGACAGTTTTACAATACATAAATATTTTGACATTTTTATGATATGTAATACTTTAAATGTTTATATTTCATTAATAAGTTTATGAATTTTTTAAAATAAATAATTATAATAATTAAATATGCCTTACATTATTTAATTATTTTTCGTTGTCTTTATTATTATTGTCACATATATAAATAACATCATTTTTGTCAGTAATATGATCAGAGGTATAAGAGTTTTTAGAGGTGGTGAGTGAGTTAGTTGAAGTATTGCTCCTAAAATTATTATTATTAAGTTTTTTCTAAACAAAAAATTTTTAATATATTTAGCTTATTCATAAATAATATTTTTAAATTTAAAAATTTAACATATTTGTAAATTACAAAAACTTACCAATATTTTTTTCATTTGCAATTTTATAACAGTTTCAGAAATTTGTATATATTCAATTTTTAGATTTAAAAGGATATTGCAAATGATGGTGATGTAAGCTATCTGAAAATGTGTTTTTTCTTTAGATCTTCATACTTTATTCAAAATATGAGTTAGGTGGGTAGTTTGTTCACTCTCTTTTATCAAATCAAATAATTTAATTTGGCATTCTTTTAATTTTTTGATTTTTTTCAACTTTGAATTTCTGCCAGACTTGCATTTATATTAATTAGTAGTAGCTGGGTCTCACTAAATACTAAAAATATTGCATTCTTAATTTAAGATATTAAGGTATCACAGAGGCTCTGATATTATTTTAATAAATGTTAAATAAAATCAAAAAATTAAAATTATATAAAAACTTGATCAAATTTGTATTTAAGTATGCAAACTTATAGCGTAATAAATATTTTTTTTATAAAAAGATGTCCAACACTTTTTGATATATTTACCAAAAAATTTGAAGTAGTTTATCAATAAATATTCTTCTGTAATTTCTCGCAATTCTTCTTACGTTAGATATATCAATCTAGATAGTGTCTTTTTTGCTATATTTTTAATCAGATTCTATAATAAAATAAAATAAAATATGATAATATTAGATTTTAATTTAATATATAATACACATCAGTTTTTAACGATAACTAATATAAAACTAGAATAATATAAAACAATTCCTTACTTTTGCAAAAGTTTTATCAAAGTCTATATGCTTTGTACAATCCTCTTCCAGTTTTTTTAACCTACTATTAATATATCGAGTTTGGTATTAAGTCTCGTATTTTGATTTAATATTTTTTTTAACGTTTTTATTGAAACTTTGTATAAATAAAATAAAACTTTTTTAAAAATATCTATAAATATGCCTTTAAAATGAA